GAAAATATCACAGCCATAAAGATGCTAATAAATTTGCATGTTCCATTGGCAAGTCATGCGTACGTATTTAAAACATATATGCATAGAAACTATTGACTTCGTGAACGGTCAACAAACAGGATCAGGAAAGTGTGAAATCTATTGGAAAACCAAAAAAAACAACCTTGTTTCACTTCAAAGTAATTAATTATCGCCACACCACAACATAGCTTTTCTTAGCACAATCAAAGAAAACTGACAAGTCCGTCTCTGTTGAAAAAACTCGAACTCAATGCATAAAGCAGATATTGACTGTGGATTGAAGGCTCAAGAAGTAGATCATCAGTGCAACAATCAGAAGTAGATACTGATATGAGAAAGACAGGGAAGAAAAGATGCTTGAAATGAAGCTTCTTTACTCACCGCATGGAAAATGCTCAGCAAGACTTCCCACGAAGCCTGACCAGTCAAGACCTTCTTTAATGCATCAGAGGTCAAAGCAAAATGAGATCCACCACTCACGGCTTCGCCTAAACGTAGGAACGGAATCACCAAACTGCAAAGTGAAGCACATCAAGCATTGAGGATATAAAGAATGTGTCGAGAAAAAATATAATGAAAAAACATGGTTAAGAGGAAGACTGGAAAATCAGTATGAAAGCAATTAATAGCTTCTACTAAGAGTGATAGACCTCAATTCACCACTCATTTAGACAATCCTCCATCTTATCTCATTGTACACCCCCCCTCCCCCCCCCCCCCCTAAAAAAAAAAAAAAAACATAAAAAAGTTACACTATGTTCCACACAGGCAAGCCTAAAGTGTGCATGTAGACCTGCATCTGGTATAACGGGAATCCGCCAAGAACAACCTGCTGAAGAAGTCATCACAGGTTCAGACTTTTGAGAACAGAAGTTGATCATACCCCTTGTAAACATCACAGGCAGGAATAATGAATCCTCCGCCCAAGCCAAAAACTAAGGTCTGTACATTTTGTCCCCGTTACTTGTTTGTCATGCAAATTTTATTGACAAACAGGTACTAACTCCATATACAAGGAGCATACAAGAGAACCTACATAAGAATGTCAATGCTCATATTTTTTGTTTCTTTAAGTTGAATGCTAAATTTTGTATTCTGTTTGATAGTTAAGAGCTGAAATTGCTTCATTGCCACATCAAGTTTTTATAAACAGAAAAGACAAAAATCACTCCTGAAATTGAAGTGGTTGCTCACATGGGTAGAAAATTCATATACATGAAAAGAATGTCTTGCATTTTTACGGAGTATATAAAAGAAGAACAGCAAACAGATTTTTGCAGATGCTCTATTCAAACATGAGGCATAGTGAAACAGAAGCAAAATATGTGAAAGTGCAGATACATAAGCATTGACTTATTTTATTCCTCAATCTCTTAGATGCAACAGAACTCTTCGTGTCTATCTACTCAGAAAATGGTGAAAGAAGTCTGAGCAACAAGAACATCTCTGGCAGAACCAAATATTAAAAGATATAGTCCCTCTATTCCATTAGTTTGTTCCAAAAAGAATGATACATTTATGTTTTTGGAGATATTTTAACTTTAAATTTTCAATTTTATTCGTAATAACTGTTGGCAAATATAAGGGAAAAGGTAAAAAAAATATTATGTTGAGAGGAAAGACAATATTACTACATTATTTATTTATGAGCAGATATACAAATTGGTTGAGTCATGCTAGGCACTGGCTAAAAAATGATTTCAGCAATGTGAGAGTTTCCTCAGGATTAAACAAGCCTTCCTCTAACAGAGAGGGAACATGAACATCAAAATTTAAATAACAAACCAGCTAGTCAGAAAAGGAGAATAACAGAAAAGCAGTTAAATGTCTGTAGAAGAAATGAACACTAGAAGAAAATTGGACGTGAGAAAGAATTGGCTGAAGAAGGTTTCTTCTTGCATATAATTGCCAATGATAAGATCTATTTATCGGATAAAATTAGGCATTTAATCACGACAAGTGGTGAGTCACTTATCCAAGCCTTTTTCATGCAAAATGCCACTTTAATTTAAAAACTGTGTTGTGTCAAACACTACCACATAAATTGAAAGGGAGGGAAGTCATAGGAATCCATATTTCGTAATTCAGGGTCAGGTGATATCTACTCAGAACAAAATACTTAAACTTAGAGGGGGGGGGGGGTTGGGGGGGGGTTGAAAAATAATAACTGTTCTAGTCAAAGCCCCTCTGTTCAGTACCTCAACTCAACTGGAGTAGCAATGAAGTTGGCCAAGAACACAGTTGGTGCATGACACGAGGATCCAAGTACTGCAATAGCTAACCCACACATAAATACAGGGACCCCTGTCAAAGAAAAATAGATTGTAGATCAGGCAACTATAGGAAAAGAAACTATCCAGTTAATTATTTTTAGCCAAAAAGCTGAGAAACCATATCGAAACTTGCAGTGTAATTCTAAAGACGTCTATGCTGATTCCGTTGACAGGATCGATCCTGTTCAAGTCTTTCCATCTTGATGGGTGTTTTGAGCTAGTCAATGAAAGTTCGAATAACTCAAATCCACATATATATTTCATCTTTCACTGTAGTTCATGGCTAGGAAGTTTGTCAATAGACGTGCCATATTTAGCTGATAGAATAGCTTCGCGGAAAAGTATGCTCTCCACTCTATTTCATTAAGATGTTGCAAATTTCAGCATGTCAGTAGTCCTATCTGTTGTGAATTCCAACTCACCTGCCTGTGAAAGTATTTGTCGCCAAATCTGTTTGTAAAGATCATGTTTCACTTTATTTTTACACCCAACATACAAGATTTATTACTACTAAATTCTGCTCGTATCTAGAACTTTCACATACATTTCAGTTTCACTTAAAGGGAATCATTAACTAAACGCAAATTAAACTTTTAATTGACTTTTAGAAAATATCTGAGAAGACCTAAAGTCATCCCTATAAGAGTTGGGCTCTTAAATCTTATGATGTTAATATGTTTGCTGGTAGCTGCAATGTCATATCCAATACCAATCACCAGATCTTCCTTCAGAATTGGCTTTTAGATTGATCTGGTTTCTGCAACTTTAGAATAAATACTTTAAGTCTAATGTAAATTTGTCTTTTGCAAAAGCAATTCATATCTAGTTTTGTGATTTTACAAGCTCAAGACACAACTAAACTCAAAATATTGTCCAACTTTTTAGCATGTTTTGGTTTGTAAAGCACTAAATCTCCCCATCAGTTGGTATGGAGATTTTGAAGTGGACATCTCAATTTAGTGAGATAAAATTGTCTTTTTCTTTTTCATCAGTTTGTCATATCATATTCCACTTTCTATGGATTCAAACAAACAAAGGATTCATCTCATCAACATTATCACCATCTCGTTGCTTGCAACCTCACGACCTAAAGTTTCTCAATGTACTTAAAAAGAAATTAATTGATCACAAAGATAAATTTTTGCCATGAGCTCAAGGCAGTAAAGATGTAATGCTTTCACAGCAAAAGCTAAAATAAGCTGGTAGATATAAAAGACTAAATCCATTTAAATAATATTGACGAATATATATTACTGCCTCGGTTTTACTTTTATGTGTCATCATTTGACTTGAACAGTATTTAAAGTAGAAATTTGACTAGTGTATAATGTTAGTGGTAGTGGAAGAAAATTTCAAAGTAATAGGAGTAGTTAAAAGATTAAATTTGATAGAGAAAGCACCATATCAAAGTACAAAATCTAATAATTAAGTGAATTAGAATTGTGGAAAGTTGAAAATTAATCATATAGAGTGTCAAATAAAGTGGAACGAGGAGGATGAAAGACATACCAACGATGGGAAAGATACCCAGTGTAACGCCAAGAGCCCCAGAGAATGCCAATTGCTTTGGCTCTGCACCCCTTCAAAACAAATCAACAAAACGATTTCATTCAACAACAAATATCAGCTACTCTATGTGATCCAAATAGTGTTTAAATAGTAGTGAATTCTGTTTACAGTAAAAGTGTAAATTGAAGAATAGAAAGGTGAAAATGCCTAACCTGCGGAGGATTTGGAGAAGAGGATCACCGATCTTCTTGTGAGTCCAATGACCCACTTTCAATCCAATCTGTTTGAACATTATATTGAAGACCTCTTAACTATCAATTCTTCCACTTTACACTCAATGGTCAACTCAAACTGATTGGAACCAAATGGCGTCGCAATGGATGGTGGATCGCGCACGTTCTGGTGAAATTACTGGAAATGAATAACAAAAAGAATCAATCACACACAAGGACCTGAAATTGAATGAGATTTGACTTTTTATTATAGATGGCTCTTCCTCCAACACTTTTTACATTACTCTTGATTGAACTAGAAGAAGGAACTAAACTAAACGATGTCGTATGCTGGTTCCGAAATAAAGAAACACGGAAATCTAATCTCCCTCACTTCCACCCCCGCCCCCGTTCCCGCTTATTTACCCAAATAGCCCCCACTCAATAACTTAAAATTAAAATAGCCGGTTGAGGTATAATATATGTATTATATGTGTATAATTAATGAATAATCTATGTATGAACGGCTATTTGTGTAACGGATTGAATACAATGCTTGAAGTGAAAAAGCAAATACGTAAGAAAAGACTCCCTGATCTCAAGCAACTCCAAAAATAGTATACTAACTTTTTGTTATTCTTTCACATGACACGGAAAAGGGGCCATCTAAACTAGACTTGTATTTTTCATTTCTGTTAATTCAACTGATAATGGGCTCGTAATGTGAACTTATCTAATCGTGCTACAAATTCCACTTGCATATAGTATATGCTCGCATTTTGTTGAGTAAACAACCTTTCACAATGTACATTCATTTTGCAGAAGAATTTAACTGACGTTGTAACAATAGACTAAAATGCACTGATAGCACTGTCGTGTAAACTTCTTTCCAGAAAAGTTGTACATCCGCTAATGTACGAATGAAAAAGGAACAAGCAGATATAACATATCCTTCCTAATAATCAAGCTGATAAAAGATGAATCAGAAAGCAAAGGGCATATCTTGCATAAGAACGGGTATTTGTTGCTCAAAGAGCATAGCAGTACAACAACAATCATCTCCTCTACACAAAATAATACTGGCTGATCTAAGGCCTCGTCTGTCAGGAAATTATAGTATTCCCAACCTTTTTCATTTTAGCTTCAAATTGCTGGCCTGCTAATAGCCTATTAGTACCATTACAAGAAGCCCTTTTAACCATAGCTATCGGCAATCTCTCCTAAAGCTTGTACATTTCAGCATCATCCAATCCGTAGCTGGCAAGTGTGGCACTGGCTCCAGCATGTCAAGCTGATAATGCAACCAAAGTACATTTAATGCTGTATATTAGCTGATTGGTGTGTTGTCCTGTGTCCATCCACTTTTTTTTTTTGTCTTCTAAACACAAACTATTTGAACAAGTAATATTTTGCAGTTGTTAAACTGAAGCCTCTCCCGCTTGCATTTCTTGGTTTACTTTTCCCATTTCACTTGCAGAGCGCGAAGTTTGGTTTATCTATCTTTTGAAAAATATAACTTGTCCTCAAGTGGACAAAGAAAAACCTTCCTCGAGGCATTGTGTCCTCACATCTTGCATAAGGCGTTGGAGTAAAGATGGATTGCTTGTAACAATAGCATCCACCCGCTCAAATAACATTTTCTTCATTGAGTCCTCATCATCAACAGTCCATGCATAAACCTTTTTATTCCTCCTGTTGCAATAAAGAAAAGAGAAATCACAAGGTTAGATAACTGCAGTTGTGGACCAAAAATGAGTGCCGTTATGATGCATGTGTGGACCACAAAACCGATTAAACTTCATACCCATGGAGGATTTTCAAGAGATTCTCATCAATTAAAGGATGGTAAACACCAACAACTGCAGCACCTCGCATTCTCAATAACTGCATTCTAGTTCCTGTTGAAGGATCTATCATGACAATGTAACCTACCTGCAGAACCACCAAACATCACATTCGCATAAACCAAGCTACGATCAATTCAGCTTATGTAGAATAGAATTTATAGGAATAATACTTAATTCAGTAGGTTTATGATTTAAAAAGAGATAGTAAACCTACGGCAAATCTAGTGTACCCTAGTCAAGCTACTGTTCTGGTTTTAAGCTTTAGGTCCGCATAAGTATTAATCTGCTCCAGTTAAAGTGTCTTAATTTTTACTTTAGGTTGTCTCAAAATCGAGTCCACTTTACATGGAGACTTTTTCTCTCACTTGTCAATACTTCTTCGTCATGCTATTATCAAACAGAGAATATTAGAACCACTTTTATTCTAAAAATAGTCAAAATTATTCAAAAAATCAACTTTATCTCAATTCGGACATCCTTTCATTCAACCAAGACAAAATCCAGTTTTTCCCATAATAGTTGTGTCCAAAAGAAATCAGCTAGTTCAGAGTACAACTTTGAAGAATAGCAATAGACACCATCAAGAAAGTGTCTAATTTGTTATAAGTTATACAGAGAGCAACCACAGCAAACACTCAAAAGAAGCTTAGACCTCATTGAACTGGTTCCTTACATTGCCACCTCTCCTGCCACATTCAGGGTACAAGTACAGTTGATTTGAGCTAACCCAGCATTCTTTCACAGGTTAAAGGGAAATTTAGCAAAATAATGTCAAGAACATGAGATTTCGGATATTGTTTCCTCCATTTGCAAGACCAACATTGCATGAAATGACTGCAAAGCATCAGCACAGAGCCACAGACCAATATTATCTATGTCCTAAGTCACTTCTAAAATGGTTGACATGCAAGGAAATAAGAAGCTGTGTACTCCAAACGGAAGAAAAAAAACTAAATGAGAAGTTGTGTACTCCAAACAGAAGAAAAAAACTAGTTGTTACCATGACATCTGGCGACAGTTTCATCACATCTCTTGAGAAACTGTCACTTTTAGCCCATACAATGCAATTCTTACAGCCCGTATTGTAGACCTATAAAATTTAAAAAGGTCAGTGACATACACCATCCATTATCAATAATAGCATTAAGCATGCAATTAGCTGTCTTTTTATAACCACATGTAATTAATTAGCTGTCTTCAAAATCCAAAATGATAACTAACTCCAGATAAAGGAAAAGCTGATCATGCATAGTGACTACCAAAAGCTGTAACTTTCTATCGGGACGAAATCGATAAGAAAGCATGAAACAAGTTCTCCTACTCCTACGTAAAAGCTAATAAAACGGACCCACATAATGTCTGAATCAGCTGCTCCTACCGAAGAAGTAGATATGAACTTCTTCCGCAACTCAAAAGAAAGGAGGGCAAAAACAGAAGAAGAAAGAAGTGAAGTAGAAATAAACTTCTTGGAGTTAATCGCTGGGTTGCAAGTGCAAGTATTATAAAGAACTCACCGCCTAGGCTAATATTTTCACCAGAAAGAGAAACCATATGCTACATGTTCAAGTAAATTTTGTGGCCAGTAAGGTAACTATTTGGAAGAATGGGAACAATTGTTGGAATATCCCCTAGTCCGAGCCCAGATTAGTAGTGTAGTTGTTGCCCAACTATGTATTTTATTTCTGTTGTAATGGGTTGAGCCAAGGGTCTATAGGAAACAGCTTCTCTACCTGCACAAGATAGGGGTAAGGTCTGCGTACACATTACCCTCCCCAGACCCCACATGTGGGATTACACTGGGTATGTTGTTGTTTTTGTTTGTTGGGTTGATCCCAATTCTTTCATTTTGTAATTATTTGGTGGTGTAGATTGGGTCGGTTATTAGTTAATTGGGTTGGAATACCGGGTCTATATACAAGGCCATCCAATAAACTTCTATTGTGCAGTTGATATTTTCATTTTTCAGATGCAATAATATTTCTCACATTTTCTTTCACGTTTCAGACCTAAACCTAACACAAAATTCTTGGATTTCATCTCATTTTCCGCTGCTAACAACAAAAGACTTACAATAGAAAGAAGATCCTTTGCAAACTCTTTCTCATACAGCGGGGAACCAACTTTTGCATCAAGAATTACTCGCCGGACAGAACCTGATATCAACTGAAGGAAATGAAAAGCCAAGTTATTAAACAAATAGCGAAAAAGCCTATTTCCGGAAACAACAAAAGGAATGTCATGCTGGTAATGCATTGCTATGACAATGAATTCAATGGACAGCATAAATATGTCCAATAACAAACAACAACGACAACAACAACCACTCAGTATAATCCCACAAGTGGGGTCTGGGGAGGGTAGGAGTATGCAGCCTTACCCCTACCCTGGAAGGACAGAGAGATTGTTTCCGATAGATCCTCGGCTAAAGAAGGTGAGAGAAGCCCCGATAGCAAGTAATAGCAAGCAAATAATTAGAAAACTAAATCGAAGATAGCAACCAAGAATATGAAAGGGGTGCCGATAACAAGTAATAGCAAGATAACATATTTAGAAAACTAATTCCAAGGCAGCAACCCCATGTACTTAGCAGGCACACGCCTTAACCACTCGGACAAAGTGATGCTTGTTATACAGCTACAAAATTACACACTAGTGGGAGATAAAACAGTTACTTTTATTTTTTTGAAAGAGATGTAGAAAGAGGAGAATGAATGGGGCATGGAGTGAGAGAACAGTACAAGCTTGGATTTTCTGAGTACCTTTAATGCATCTTCAACTGTTGGAACAGTTAGATCATGATGCTCCGACTTAAGCTGATGAACTGCATCAAGCTCTTTAATCTGCAAATACAAAGTGAAGAAATAACATTCAACATTCTACTCTAATATGTTCTGTGATGTATGCCAGCTTGTTGGACCGAAGCAAAATCAAAATGCATTGGAGCTATTAAAATACAAGGTGTTAGTAAATAATTTTTTTTAGATGCATGGGAAATAGGATCCAATATTTGCTTCAGTCAATTTACATTTAAAACCTATCGGTTCCCACCTCCTTTGAGCTTAAGTGTGAAACTTTAGAATTGTTGTTCCCAGTTATCCGTTGCAAATCCCTGCCTGCGACATGTGAAAATCAATGTTCCAGACTATAAAACAGTGAGAAACAATTGTTATCATGAAATTCCAAATGAATGTCGTAAAAGATGTTCCTTTATCTTCTTGCAGGAAATAACTCTAAACTACGAAATGCGGAACCAAATCTTAGGCTGTATACCCAGTGAGGAATGAAATCTACATGCCTACCTGGTCACGGCCAGCTTTGACCCAAAATATGTAAGGAAAATCCAGAGAAAACAAGTATTTCGAGTAGAGAACAATCTATGATTGAAGCTGGACTGTAATATCTTGTAGAAAATATCAACTGAATGGGCCTCCAAACATGCAAGGTTCCTACCATTTCCCAGTATGCATTTGTCCTACTCTACTTCATATTCACAAACATGCTTTTACCACTTCAAACTTTGTTTCTTATGCGAATTCTTGGAAATTGAATAAGGTAGATCTTTTGTCCTTGAAATCTTTTGTTTTCATCCATGTGACCTTTCTCCCAGCATAAAGTAAATATCTAAAGTAGCAATGCTTATTTTGGAAAAACATTTGATTGGTCAACCTTCCAAAAGCTTTTTGGCACCACCTTCACTGTCACAGCACAATGCATATATGAACAAAGTTTTGTCACAAATTCTAAAGTCATTTCAGCCTCTCTATCTTTATAAAGTAGGGTAAGGTATGCGTACACACTACCCTCCCCAGACCCCATTTATGGGAATACACTAGGTTCGTTGTTGTTGTTGTTAGGTGTAGACATATTGCTAACTGGTTTCCCTGAGTTTTAAGCCCACATACCGGTCATGGAGGGCAAACAACACACCATCTGAAGAACGAGAAACATCAATCTCAATGCAGTCAGCCAGAGAATCAAGAGCAGTTTGGTATGCAGCCATCTACATGAACGGTAAGATTATCAGAATTCCAACTAATGAAGTTGGGAATCGTTTTGTGACAAATTAAAATGAACAATATCGGCCGCTAAAGATGTTTCCAAGAATGACTCAACCAAAAGAACAGAATTCCTACTGTGTTGGGAAAGGCCTTCGATGAATCACCACCATGAGCACAAACCAGAGGATGACTGCGCAGCCAACTACATTTCTGTGATTGCATCTGCACAATTATGTTTAGATTATTCCTCTGCATATTTAGGGAACAAGCAATCCTACCAAATGCAGGACTTCAAATACTTCACTCATACAGTAAGAAATACAAACAGCTGTTACAGCCAGAAACCAGTAAACGATATGCTGTATGAAACAATTTAGTGGGACATACAAATCTCCCCGAAAAAGTAAACTAAAATATGTAGGTCTCAACACTGATTCATTATCAGAAGGAAAATATATTTCCAGATTCTATAAGAATTGTGAAACATTATGCACCAATACCATAAGCTTTGTTTTCGTTTTGCACTTTTCCTTTCTCTCTCTTTTGGTGATAGAAATGATAAGGCATTGAGCAACTCGGATAAAGTGAACCTAACATATTTAGCACCTGTGTTTTCAATATGAATACCTAAAAGTTAATATCAGAAGGAAAGAGAATATAACCTGATGGAATCGACGGAGACGAAAATGGAAGTAAATAGGGGGAATAATGGCGATGAGGGCGAGGCCAATGAGCAGAGATCTAAACACCTTTCTGGAAGTGAAAACTCTGAGCTTTGGCTTAAGCTTTCGGGACAAGAGGCCATGCCTCTCCAACCTGAGTCGACGCTTTTGCCTGTCCATTCTCCACAATGGCACCCACCGATTTGTCCAATTCAACGGATTCCCATTGTCAATTCTTGTTGGTTGATGCAGAAAAATGCTGTAATCAATCGAGTGTTTGATCGTCTTCTCTTCTTCTCTCTTTCTTCCTTTTTAAGGTCTGGAAACTTCAAAACAGCCCTCATATTTTCAAGAGTCGCTATCTTCGTCTATGCATTCTAAGGAAATTCAAATGAGTCCCAATAGTTAGGCAATAACGTCAGTCATTTTCAAACCTCATAACATTCTCCTCCATTTTCCTTGATAATTAAAAAAATTTAATTAAAGAAGATCTTAATCTGGATAGTTCACCTTAAATCACCAAGTATGTTTGTACTTTTAAGATCTAACCACTTAATAGATTAATATTGATTTGAATCATGCATATATTGAATAATATCATAATAATATTAAGAGGCTATTGGTTTTGCAAATATGATCCAGCACTATCACTCTTTACTTTTACAAGATAGGAGTAAAGTTTGTATATCCACTTTGTGGGATTACACTAAGTTTGTTATTGATAAATATAAAATATTTATATATTATGTACTTAAAATATACTATTTGTGTTAGTTCTTTTTATCAGTTGTTCTTTTCGTTTCGATTTCTTACTATCTTGTCGTTGTTACTGTTTGGTGCTGTGGTTTATTTTATTTTATTGTTTTAACTGCTTTCCGTGAGCCAGACGTCTATCAGAAACAGTCTCTCTGCCTTCTAAGTGAGGGTAAGGTCTGCGTATACACTACTCTCCCCGGATCCCACTTATGAGATTACACTAGATTTTTTTTTTTTTGTTGATGTTGTTGTTCTGCATTCAATCTTGGATTGGAAAAGTTAAGCTTTAAGGTTATGATAAATTCCTTTGCTTTCGTCATGCATTATTTTAACTTAACAATGCTTCTTGGGATAGATTTGGGAGTTGTTATGAGAATTCATTTATTTCTCTTAGATGTTTCTTGACACACCCCAAAGTTTCTATATGCGAAGAGGTCGTATGGGCTACAGAGCCATAGACAGTGTATTCAATGAGAAAGATGCATTGTTCTTCCTTATTTAATGCACCCGCAATATTTTTGTTCTTTATATATATACTAGTATTAGTACTCGCGCGATGCGCGAATAATTAAAAAGAACGATCTACATCGTAAAGTTTAGTATGTTAGTGTTGATACCATCTTTACAACCAAACATTAAAAATATTTTAAGACTCCAGTAACCACTATGACAGGTTGATTGGGTGATCCATCCAAGTGGGGCAAGATTTCATCTACAAGTTCTTAGATAAATCCCAATATCATACATTAATTATCTCTGGCTTTAGACTCAAAATCATGCATATTCTTTCACATGGAGCATTAATAGTCCATTTACTTTAACAAAATGGTGCACTTTTAGTCATAACCTAAACACCGTTAATTTTTTAACAGTAACCTCCTCACGTACCCTTTTATTCCCTACGAACGGTTAGCTATCAGTATATCTTTCATCGTTTTTTGCAAAGAGAGTAATACCAAGAGCAGCAGAAATTTTTGGAAACCAAAATGGCTTTTGGAAAATCTGAGATATTGCCAAGGTTTTCTTCACCTTTCAGTGCCGGTTCTCACCTGATTTTCGAGCTCTTTGACTCTATTGGCAACAATTAACCTTCTTTTAGTTATATTTTTCTCTACGTGCAGCTTGGCTTGATCTAAGAGCTTATCAAGATTGATAGATATCCTCAACTTTGTATACTATATTAATATAGATTTTTTTGACAAGCTTTTTCCAGTGCTTGATGTTGCTTGGAGTTTTCCCAGCATCCTCTTAGTTAGGAAAGCATTGAGGTTTTTAACTTTTTTCACAAGATGTTCAAGCTCTCCCCTTTGCACCAGCATTTAGCTTCATATTTTATTTTATTGTCTGCAATATTTTTTTGCAGTAAAAGATTGAGCACTGCACCTGTTATCTTTTTTTTTTTCAGAATTGTTCTCTTACAGTTTATTTAATTTCAGAATTGTTCTAATTGTTTCTTTACAGATGTATACTCTCTTTGCAAAAACAATTGAAGACAGAGAGATATAGTAGTGATTCGTTTGGAGAGGTGAGGAGGCCTCTGTTAAAAACTAACGGTATTTAGGGTTATGATTAAAAGTCCACCATTTTGTAAAAGTAAATGGACTATAAGTGCTCCAAAGATAATGTATGATTTTGGGCCTAAAGCCAAAGATAATGTATGATTTTGAGCTTTTTCTCACAAATTCTCCTCAAAATGTTGCTGAAATATTGTTCCACCTATATATAAAATACACAAATTAATAATGAGAAAATAATAGTAATTGAACCTATAACTAATTCAATGCATGGTTGCAAGCGTACTGTTACGCGGCGTCTTCCTGAGATTCCTTGGAAGGGCGACGTAAGGCTAGGCAACTGATGTCAGTGCAGTTGTTGTCCGCCAACTGAGGTCCCCTCCGTACGCTACACGAGATTGTCAGTGCCGTACGGGAAAACCAATGTCAAGAGCAATTGAGAGAACAGAAATGAGAATTCAGAATGAAAGAAAGCTTGATTGCATTAATGAAAGCTATTACAGAAAAGCAATGCGGTGTCGAGGGGGAGAGACACCGGTACAGAGAGTTGCTTGCTTGCTAGAAAGTTTTGATTGCTTGATCCCCCCTAATAGTACTTAAAAAAAATAATCCAAAGTTACAAGACTAGACTTGACTAAGCTAGAGAAACATAATGGAAGTACATGAAATAAAACGACTCTATATTTACAATGAAAATGACTAAGTTTTCTATAAGGCAGCAGCAGGTCCGTTGTCAGCAGCAGTGTCTTTGGCATCACGGTCAGCGCGCGCGGCGTTGTCTGCGCGCGCGGCGCTGTTGGCTTCTGCCTGCGGCTTGGCGCTCGCGAGGGATATCGGTGGGGCGACAGAGGCACCTGCGCGCTTGTCACTTGGCGCGGCCAAGACCACGGGGCCGTCCGTGGCGCTAGGCATTGGGAGGTTTGCTAGGACGCCGCGAGGTGCGCCCAAGGGGTCATGGGGCATGGCTGGAAAGCCGCCCATGACAGTAATAACTATTACGAATAGGTCTGTCGATAATACGACTATATCAACAGTCAGAGGCGGATCCAAAATTTAAATTCTATGGGTTCAACCTTTAAGGTTCTTAGTATTGAACCTATTATATCCTAAAGTTATGGGTTCATATCTATAATTTATTGCGATTTTAGTGAATTTTGTACATAAATTTGTGCCCCGTGTCGAAAGTTATGGGTTCAATTGAACCCGGTGTTATTGAGCTACATCCGCCCCTGTCAACAATAGACAAGGATTTTGAAAAAAGCACATACCAGGGGCGGCTCAAGCACATGCGGGCCTAAAGTCAAAGTTTAATATGAGGCCTAAATTTTTAAAAGAAAGTTATAAGATATGTTTTTATTTGAAGTCATATTCTTCTAGCTTTTTGAGATATAAAGTTGTTAATATTCTTTTTGTAATCGATATTTTCTAATAACTTCTTCTCAATTAATATTATAGCCAACTCATTTAGTCTTTCTTGAGATATTTGTATAGGGTTAAATTTGGCTCATAACACCCCAACGCCAAATGGGCACGTCCCTTATAATAAGGGCGACCCGAGTGAGGGCACGACCCAAGTTGGTGAAGAAGAAGTGACGTCGTTTAGTGCCTGACCTTTTTACTAAGTAGAAGCCACCAACTTTTGTACCTTTTTGATTATTTCGAGGGAGGTCTCCTACTATATAAAGGAGACCTCCACATTGTAATAGGGGGGGTGATTCTTGGATAATACAATTTCCCTCTCTATCTCTCTCTCTTATCTCTTTCTTGATTTTTCAACCATTGCTTCCCTCTTAAGCTAAGTCTATTTCACTACGCACTTACAGATCTACAAACATTCTTGAAGCAATAATCATCTCTTGGGCTTATTATATTTGATTGCGATTTACCCCTATATATTTTCGATTGTTTTTAAGTTTATAAAATACGAATATAATTTTTGAGCTAAACAGTACTTCTGTTTGTTTTACCGATAATCTTGGTAAATATTAAAGTAGTGATCATGTTGTGATTTCTTTACCACTAGTAATATATATATTGGTAAATACTGCACTAAACAATGAATAGGGAGTAATAGGTTATCTAGACTAGCCAGTGGCCGATGGAGCATATATAATTTGCCCTAATATGTCAACTAGTACATTAACAATTTGGTCATATTAGACAGATTAGGTTTAAATTTGACACCACTACGTTTACATTGTTACACTTTTTGGAAGTTGGAAGTTAATAATCTAGCTTCCAATACTTAATTCTCTTGGATTTTACATCCATTATTAATGCCAAAATTTCACGGTATAGCCAGTTTTCGGACTGGTCAATCAAAAATAGCCAGCGTATACCAAGTCAATGAAAAATAGCCACCGTTTTGCTGCAATAAAGACCGGTCCAGCATAATATACTGGAGTTCGGTGCACTTGTGTATGAACTCCAACATATTATGCTGGACCGGTATACTTTGCTGGCTCCAGTATAATATACTGGAGACTGGAGCACTTGTGCTCCAAACTCCAGTATATTATACCGGACCATTATACTTGCTGGAACTCCAGTATATTATGTTGGAGTTCTAGTGTATTTATGCTGGAACTCCATCATATTATGCTGGAGTTCCAGCATACTATCCTGGAACTCCAGTATAATATGCTGGAGTTCAAGTATACTTATGCTGGAACTCCAGCATAATATACTGGAGTATTTTTCGGGTTTTGAACAGTGTTTTCGCTCAGATTTATCTTTATGTAAAAGGTGACTAAATTTCGATCACTTTTAAAATTGGGCTATTTTTGAACGACCAGTTGTAAATCTGGCTATTTTTAAAAATCACCCATTATTAATGTGCCTTAAACTAATATGGTCCAGTTAGGCTTTCCACGTATCCACCTTTGTTGGGCTCTGGGAAGTTGTAATTCATCCTTAAAACTGGCCAAATACTGGGCTTTGGCATTTTACTGGACAAGTATTCCAGGCTCATCTCCAAAATATCCATTCAAAGGTTGAGTCCTAGCCCAGATTGTCTTTTAAAAAAAAAAATTTTTTTTATAAGCAGCATATAAAGAGGAAATTTGTAAATTGATAACAATAGGTATATATATTACTCCCTCCGTTTCGAATTAGATGAGGTACTTTTCTTTTTAGCCTGTTCCAAAATAAGTGGCACATTTCTAAATTTGGAAATAATTCAACTTTAAACTCTTTAGTTTACCTATTTTACCTTTAATGAGAAGCTTTTATTACCACACAAATGTCATGGCCCCATAAAACTTTTACCCTTTAAACTTTTAAAATCACAAATTTCAAAAATCTTTTTTTTCTTAAACTCCGTTTTGAGTCAAAATACGTCATATAAATTGAGTAGAAGGAGTAGTAAAATAAGGAAAAATGTTACTGAAAGATATTTGCGGTTGTCTAGTCTAGATAACATAGAAACGCTCGGGAGAAATTGATAGACGAACGTACAAAAAGCAACGTCACTACTTTCTTTTTTTCCCTTCCCAGAAAAGGCCAAAACTGTTACTAGTTCATAAGTGTGGTTCTTTTTAGGAGGGATATTTTTCGAAAATACTTAGTCAAGTAGGTGTATTTAGAGCCCGTTTGGACATAAGAAATTTTTTTTTTTTATAAAATTTTCAATTTTTACTTGAAGATATATTTTAAAAAATTTTAAAAATTTGAATAAATTTAAAAAACTATTTTTCAAAATTTTCACTTAAATCACTCACAAAACTTCAAAAACAACCCAAAATCATATTCATATCCAAACACAACTCTAAATTTCAAAACCATTTTCACTTGAAATTTTTTTCACCTTTTTTGGAATTTTACAATTCTTATGTCCAAACGCCCACTTAATATTTACATGAAAGAGATATTAGTGTGTATTTATTTATGTGATTTTTTTTTCCCAATATATGATCAAGTCAAGTCAGATTGTCCGGACCTAAAACTCCAATTTCAATTCAATTAATAGTAGCATAACGAAGGGGAAAGGATATCTAAAATCATATCCACTACCGCGGGTCCCATGTTTGATGTTCCCCGGACAGGCCATAAGCGGAAACAGCTCGACATAAAGCGTGCATCACACCACCACAATCTAACGACTTGTAATCTTTGCGTGAAGGACACGCTCTCTTTCGATGTTGGAGAATAATAGACAACATCACAAGTGTCACTATCTCTTCTAGGACCTTCTGCCTTACATTTCTGGTGACAAAAAAAGCAGCTTTAACGAACGGATCTTCGCCTTCGAATATACCACTTGGACCGCTCACTGCAGACTTTCTAAATATAATATATTCGGAAATTATAATTAATTAAATCAAGACAATTCGAAGAACAAAATTCCAGAACTATTTTTAATATTTTTGTTTTTTTCAGAAACTTTGCAACCAATTTTGTCAAATAATAATATTTGTAGAGTTGAATGTGATAAGGCTCCGAGTCCTGGAAACTTGGCAACGTGGCACGTGTGGTCCATCTGCTTCACGGCGTGGCGGTTGCTATCAATCAAGTTTGAGCAACTTTATCAAAGAAACTTCTTCTTAACTTTGGTTGAAATTCAACTGTAAATTTTCTCTGTGGGTTTTGCTCAAAACGAAGCTGAGGCTCTCTGATTTTGTCACTTTTAAGAATGGCAAGTCCTATGGAGAAGGAGAGTCATAACGTTATTAATGATGAAATTGTGTCGGTGGAGCTTCCTGCACCTCCTTCCTGGAAAAAATTGGTACAAATTTTATTATTTTCTCAGCTTTACCTGCAGACCAGCTCTGTTATTTTACTTGAGCAATTTCAATTTGTAGAGTAATAGCATAGAATTTTGAACTTTCTGTAATTTTCTGTTTCTAGGTTTTGCTCAGCTTATCCTTTCTGTCAATTTTTAGTGTTTTTGGTTCCCATAATTGAGTAGTAAGAAGCTTAGCTCTGTTTCCAGTTGTTTTCGTTTAAGTTGAATTTGCAAACGGATTAAAGGTAGATTTTTCTCTGTTTGTTTGTGGAAAATTGGGTGTAAGCGGGAGTTTCACTATTTAACTAGTAACGTCTTCAATTTGTAGCTTGGATTTTGTATTGGTCTTGATTAGCTTACTTCTTTCTTTTAATACTTAGTTTTCTGTAGAAGACAATTTAGTTAAGAGGAAGGTTACCGCTATTGCAGCTTCACTTAAGTTTTTTTCCCCCCCAATAATTTAAGCAGGAGTTCAAAAACTCTTAGTACCAGACAAGTGGATTACTGCAAATGGGAAACTTTTGGTGTTTTGTTGAAGGATTTAAAACTTTGGGCAGGAAAAGCTTGTCAGCTAAATGAAAGGTCTCAAAGGTAAATTGGTATAAGACAGAAAGGGAGAGGGAGGGTAGGCAGATACACGCGGGAGCCTTATTAAAATCTTGATACCAAATAGAAGATTCAAGTTTTCACTCACTAGTTTATTAAAGATTTAATTAACAAGTCGATATAACAAGCTAAGTTTCCTTTTTAACAACCCTGAGATGTCAAATACCGCCAAGGTTTATATAATCCTCCAACTTGGGTGCGTGACATATTTAAGGATGAAGGAGATTGAGTTCAGACAGGGTGTTCAAAATTAGTTGAACCTGTATCGTCTCGTCAAAGTTTGTGCTAAAATGAGCTAAAAGAGCACAGCCTAACAGGTTGATTCTCAACTCTCTACTTTAGGCTAAAATACTTAACGACTGAAAGATAAAACAAAAATTTGGGGGGGGGGGTAGGGGGGTATAG